GAATGTTGTACTGTAAAGTTCCAGAAATCTGAATTATCAGCCTATTGAAATTACTGTTTGCTGGCCAAAATGTGAGATGAGGTGGTTGAGTTTGGATGCAAATACATTGCATGTAGTTCCTTAGTACGAAATCCAAATATACGTGTTGCGTACCCACATGCCTGGCAGCGTGGCGAGTAGTGAACCGTGCCTTACAAGAGATACTCATTCTGCACTGTTTCTCTGAAATCTGGTAATGAAAACTCAGTCACGTCCGTCAGTGTACATGCCTAATGATCCAATGATGCAGAATGCTTTTTTTCTTTTTCTTTTGACCTTTAACCAGGAAAGCTTATTATTTATACATGAAGTAGCTCTCTTTCATTTGGAGGAGAAGGCAGTAGGCTTTGTTGAAGTAGGCACCTATGGTCTGCACACCAATTTACGTTTCAGCTTAATGAATCAGGATCTGCCTCCGCACAGGTTGCTTACTTTTGCCAGTATTTAGCAAGCTAATATGTCTGCCTTAAGTAATTACATGTTAGGTTGTTGAGATGTAGTTCAGCCAAAGGCATAAACTCTATGGGAGAGTGGGATGGAAAGGACCCAAATTCGATTTGCCTCAAGCTACTGTGGCAGCTCGCACAGAGAGAGATGGATTTTGAACTGAAGAAAGCCAAAGTGATTTTGTTTAACCAACTGTTTTTCTCACTTTTAAATAAGCTGGCCTATAATATCACAATTTGTTTTGGTTTTCCTGAATGAAAATCCTGAAGTTTTTAACTGCCAACAAGGAAATTTTATGGAGGGTATTTGCATGTTTAAAGAGCAAATCTGACTATTCCTAACACCTTTTAGCCAGCATGCAGTCAGTCCTAAGAAAAAATTAATATTGTAGTTTTATAGTCCACATCATTACACAGCTTCCTTCTGATCTTAGTGCTATCTATGCTTGCTAATCAGCTGGATTAAAACTTGTAGACGAATCAGCCGTCCATATCTTGGTTAAATGTGAGTATTGTATGTAACCGAGAGGGATATTTGGTAACATATTGTATGTGATATAGGGTTGGGACAATGTATCGGAAGAGTTGTAATATTATTTATTCAGATTCCTTGCATATCCCAGAATTTTGGCATTGTGGGGATTATTATAAAACACAGAAATTGGAGATTGTCCACAGGCTTTGTAATAAATGAAGGGGAGGAAACGCCTTACCTTGCTTATTGCACAATCCATTTGGATGGATGGTCCTTCTTTTTATTAAGGACCTGTTGCCTTTGATGGTTATGTAGCACCGTTTTGTTTAACCAGGTAACTTCTGCAATGCACATTATATATTGCTTATTTAACAGGCTATCTGTTTTGTGTATTGTCTTTTAAATTAAAAAGCATTTACATTGTCCAGTTTGGGCGAGGCTTTAAAACGGAGACAGGTTTGGTTGGGTTTCTTTCTGAGGCTGCTGGAATTTCAACAAGGGATTAATATATCCAAGTTCAAGTTTGCTTGTGTCAAGATAGTGAAGAAAAGGGACGTCTCCTTTTGATTTTTTCTTTTTCCTTTTGTATTTACAGCCAGATATAAGTGCTTATGAAATGCCGCCACGTTCTGCATGACAGATGAAAAGCTGTTCTCAGGGAGTAGGGCAGAGTTGAGTCAGCTGGGCCCCCTGCTGTGCTCGGCTTTTGTTGTTTTTAAAAAGCTCTACATCCTGAAGTACCTAGTTCTGTTAAATTTTAGTAAGCCGGTACAGTGAATTTTGATCGCTGAAGTTGACTGAAGATGTATTGTCTGCCTTGTGTGTTGCGTCTGGTAAATAACTGGTTGCTGTGGTAACCGCCTAAAAAGGTAGAGGGTCGTTGGTACCACATAAATTCTTTAAACAAAACCCGATCATAGCAAATTCTAACATTAGTCTTCGAAGAAGGATAAAAGAGGAGGAAGAGATTCAGACAGCTTTTTCCTTTTGTAAACTCGCTGCTTTATAGGGGAAAAAATAGCTAGAAATAGTCTGTCTCGTACGAAATGAAAAGGTTGTGGATTAAGGCCTTGCATTAGTGAAACAGCTGTATGAAGGTGAAACAGAAAGTTCTCCAGCTTCAGCCATTATGGGTTTGTTTGGTTAGGTCTAATTTTGGAAGTCATTATAGCAAAGGTAAATGGCTTGCACAGGAGACTACTGTAAACAAAAGACTCGATACATTTACTTTGGCAGGAGCCTTGAGAAGCCTCGGTCCTTTCACTGCCTCTTTTATGCAGCCTCTGTGCTCCTCTCACTGCTCGCCTCTCCTTTCCCTGCCTTTCCCCGACAGCTCCTTTCCCCTGACAGGTAGGATTTAAGGGGGGCAGCACCTGCCCTTGAAGTGCTGGCGTGTAGCTGTAGGATACCTTTATTTTTGTAGCAGCTGTCCCTTAACTTCTAAGGTGACTGCGTTTTGCTCAAGTAAGATTCTGTTCACTCTCCCAGTCTAATACTGGGATACAATCCACTTCAAATGCTTTACTTTTTAATTGTGGCTCCTCTTTGGTTGCTCTTTGTGTTTTTTATTTCATCATTTAATAGCTTTATAGCTACAGCTTCTAAACATACCAATGCTTAGCTGAGTTTTCTAGTTTTTCAGTGAAGAGTAAACCATGAGAATTTTAATTCCCTTTCCAGGTCTCTACCCATGCGGTTCAGTCAGGGCTCTGCCCATTCCACACCTACTTACTCACACTTGTGTGGGTGGGGAGGCAACTTCCATCAGGACAGGAGTGCCCAGGCAGAGCTTCTTCCCTTGTGAACGTATGGTATGGGTTAGCAAAGCTTTCATGGATTTCTAAAGCTGGGACGATGAAGTAGAGGGGCACCTCTTTCTGCACTCCTAGGAGACTCCCCTTTGCAGTCCCTGTCACGGGTGACTTCTGACTGGTGTCACTTCCCAGATTGTTGGGAAGCGCTTTCAGTCAAGAAATAATTGTCCAGGTTTACCTTGACTTGTAAATCAGATGGGGCATACTCTACTGTTAATTATTTTTTTTCAAACACAAGATTATTATGCTGCATCTTCAAATCAAAGGACACCCATCCCTGCGTGTTCTCACACACTTTATGCCCATGGGGGATAGCAATGCTGCTGGTCATTCTGGTACATAACTAGTACAAAAGCAGTCTGTAGGGTCATTTTCTACTCCTGCTGTAGAAAAGACGATTATCTTTATCTCTAAAATTGCTCCCTTTAGTGCTTATTAACTAAAAATACAGTAATTGAGAAGCTGGTAGGAAAAGATTTTGTCTAATAGTAGCCCTGATCTCTAAAATGGAGTTTAACCACACAATAATTACACATTACAATTTTTGACTAGAATGACTGATATAAGCAAGCCAACCATGGAGTTCAGTGCCTGGGAAGAGGTTTTATTTTGGATTAATTTAATCTAATGCTGTATATGCAAGATGTTTGTGTGCTTTCAGGTATGTATGTCAGGTCAAGTGACTGATTCTGAAGAAAAAGATGTGGTTTTAGCTGCATGAACTCTTTTGAACTTCCTTCCACCTGCAGGGCCTTTGAATGTCAGGAGTAGCAGACAACTTTGTTTTGCTGGTATTATTCTCCAATGTCTTAAAAAAACAGAATGGTAATACAAAAGTTCTCTTAAAGGGAAACATCCTGCTCTCTAACTTAATGTGGAAAAAACGCTAAATATATACCTCTTGAAAAAGCTGGCAAAACATTTTGACTTTACATTAAGAATTAATAAAATATAGAGGTTTGTTTTTTTTTTCTGTGAGCAGATAGTTTAATGTCATCACTTCCTTCTGTGAAGTTTCTGTGAAGTTTGGTTACTGCCCCCAATATTTGGATATAAACCCAAAGTCAAGTGCAAAAGTTTTGGCTGTAGATACTTGTTTTAAATTTCCAGTGTGAGATTCAGCCTGTCGTTCCAGAGGCGGCCACGTGCCTTTCAACAGAATAGAAACTCTTGGAGAAACCAACACCGAGAAGTTGTGTGTGGTGTCTGATCACAAGGTGCTCCATACCCTGCATCCATCGGGAAGTGGGCATCTTCCTTACAGTGAAGAACCAACATCATTTACAGCAAAGACAGAAATCTTAGTTATATGTAAAACTGAAGACCCATTTTCCACCTCTAAATTTAATATCATGACCTTCTTTTCATCTAGCAGTAAGGTCGTATGACTGTATTTCTAGCAGATGATGCTCATGGGCATTCTAGTTTTCCTGATACTGTATGATATGCTGTTCCTCTTAATTAATCTCTATTGTGGAGGATCTTTTACTTGCTTTCTACACATCAGAACAGAGACAAATACAGACGGGACCTGCCACCAGGCTCCCTGGTGACACGACTGAGAAGGAAGAGTTGCATTGCTTGTGTTTGGGGTGACCATAATGCTTTTCATACTTCATAAGGCCAAGGAAGGCTCAAAACCAGGTTGTTAAAGCCTCTGAGGAAATACAGCTGCAATAGGAGGAATTTGCTGCTAAAGATAGGGTTTTTTTCAGAGTTTCTGTTACTATAGCCACCTTATTCCCAGTAGAAACTGCTGGAAAGGCTGGAAATGGAAAAGAAAATTCATCCCTGCCTTGTGCAACAGGTGGAATTTTCAGTTGTGGGCATGGGCTGAGATGAATCCAGTTCACATGCAATGAGAATGTCTGCAGGCAGCCTAGGCAGTAACCACCGCAAGAACTTGGGATTTCATATCTCTTGGAAAGCTGCCAGGCAGAATTTAATTGCTTGTGGTGAAATCTTTCTCTGTGGCTAGATAGGACATTGAATACTTTTGAACTTTTAAATTGCTATGGGACAGCCAGATCTGGCATGGTTGTATTTAATATACAGACAGATAATGAAAGATACTTCTTCATCAGATAGAGTTCTTTGATGCACTTTTTTGTTTTATATATACCAGGCTAACTTGAGGGAGAGGAAAGGAGTTCTTGTAATAACATACACATTTGTTTTTCTGTTCAGTAAATTGACAGGTGTTTGGTTTTTCTTGTGTCTGCCCAGGAAACCACGTCTTGTCTCCTGGAGAGCCTGTTGGAAAAGGTCTAACGCCAGAAGCTGCAAAAGATCTGGGTCTCCCTGAAGGGATTGCAGTAGCAGCATCTCTCATTGATGCACATGCTGGAGGACTAGGTACTCAGTCATTTATTTACTATTCTTGGAAACAGGAATGTATGGAATTAATTTTAGAAAGGCATTTTTCTCACAGCCTGTTCTGTATCCAGCAATTTGCTCTGATGCTATTCTTACGAAACGGCAGAACTAAACTAAAAACCCCATCACAATAACTGCTAATATTGAATATCTGTTTATAGAAAGGGTCTATCACTGTTTATTTATTTTCAGCTGGATTTCCAAATTGTGGACTAACTGCTGCTAGTTCCACTTGGAATTCCTGAACTGACACACCATTGTGCTGGCACGCCAACGTGGGCAGAGTTTGCATCTTCTGTTGCTCAAAGCTTTGGGGATAGGCAAGAAAAATAAAAAAATAACATTCTAAGGGAGAGGTCTCCTGTCTGAGGCTTGTTCACAGTTAGTCTTCCCTCTTAGTTTTAGAAACAATTCATGCTTTGTTTAAATAATGCAATAGAGATTTTTTCACATACATTTATGCTAGCACAGCTCAGGACATATATCAAACCCGCTGCTTTTGTTCCAGGGCGTTAGAATTAATAAATACTGTGTGTCTAAACTAGTAAACAAGAGTAGAGGGGAAGCTGTCCACTGCACAGTGTCCCCTTCTGTGACTTTGAACTTTTTATCCATAATTGGAGTGGGAGGTTTTTTTTTTCTTTTCCAGCAGAATATTCTGATGTGCCCAGTTTGAGCTGCGTTGAAATACATTTGGTGAGACTCAACAGCTTCATTTTCTACTATGCTGTTTGGCCTTATCTTAATACAGTCAATAACAAAGTGATTCAATGTAACTTTTTCAGCAGGAAATTGTGGTTTTTAAAGTTTGATAGTTTAAAAAAAAAGTCTTACCTCAGAAAGTTTCAGTGTTATTGAAACAGTACTGTTCAATGGAAATCTATTGCTCATCAGAGTATTTTTCTCTAGATCTAAGTGAAATATGATTAGCTGCTGAAGTACCAGTTTCAAATATTTTGTGGTGTTTTATATCTCATTTGTTCTTCTAGAAGTTGTGGCTGGGAACTTTTTAAATATTTAAATCCATTTACTTTGCTACTGATACCTGTTTCTGATGAGCTTAAGTAACCATGTAGATTGCTCTTATTACCTCAGAAGGGTTAGATACAGATCCAGCTGCAAAAAGGAAGATTTTTAGTGTCATAGCTGTAGATGTGTTGTGTCCCTACTATTGTTGACTTAAAAATCTGTTTGTGTCAATTAGTCTCCTAATTGCGTAATAATGCATTTAAAATATGTGCCCTGGCAGTTTTTTATTCTTGATGTAATAAGCTGACCTGACATAATGAACTTGCTGAAAAACTGGATCGTCACAGAGCACCTGAAAATGGCAACTGAGGGTCCTCGTTTAATTGGCATCATTATGCGAGTACTGGATTCAGAGCACAAAAAGTTTGCCCAGTAAATTTCATGTGCTGAAATCAATGAACTGAATTTAAAGAAGAACAGAGAGCAACTGTCTGTTCGTTTGCTACAGGCTTCTTTAAAGAAACTCTGACAGTAGAAACATACAGCTACTGGCACCCGGCAGGGTAAAAACTTCAGTGGATGGAGACAGTCTGCTTATGCTAGTCCTGTTTATCAGAATATGTTTTCCCAGATGGCACCACAAACACTAGCAGACTACTGAAATCATTGCCAGGAGGAAAAAAATGTATAGGTTGTTGTTAGGGAGAGACATGTTAGAGAGGGAGAGACATGTTAAAGAGAGAGAGACACATTACAGAGGGAAGAGTCAGTAATGCAATGGCAGAACCTGTGTGTTAATCACGGCATAACTGAGTAGAGTCTGGGAGAAGAAGATTTAAGATGGAACTCATCTGTCTTGAATCTGGGAAGGGTAATAAAAAGGTAGGCAAAACAGTAAAAAGAAAAAGGATTGGGGTAGCAAAAGGGACAGCAGGAGCAAAAGGAGAGCTGGAGGGTTCAAATGCATGTAAAAAGAGCTAATAGTGTGGCTACATCTCAAATACTAAATAACTCTACTTCATCCATAGCTCTTAATAATGAGAACCTAAATCAAGTTTAATTTAAAACTAGTCTAGTTTAACCTACAGTGTGTAGAATACAGAGCTGAAAACCCTGAAGGAAAAACAGAAAAGCAAAAGGAGAACACAGATAATAGGATTAGGAAGTAAAACTGTGTTCTAATTAAAAGATACTAAGGACGGCAATACACTAAAGCCTATTAAAATTTTAATTATGATAAAAGGGGCACAGAAGAAACGACAGTAGAGAAGAGAGATTTGAAACTGAATTAAAGTGCGAAAATATTGGAAATAAATAATTGTTGTAGTTGGTGTAAACCTTTTGTTTTGAAAATGTACTGATGTGTGTTTTAGTGCTTGCCCTGCTGTGATCTGTATTGAAATAGTGAGGTTTACAATTTGTTTGAAGGATATGACTTGTGTATTAGTAAGCATTAGACTAGTTTGTGAGACAACATCCAGTGGGTGTCATTATTCTTGTTCTTGAACACAATCTGCTGGTTATTTTAAAAATAATCTCTAACAGCAGAGTAATGGAAAGGGCTCTTTTGTATCCTGCGGGCTAAACCAAAGTGACATGATGGACATCTTGTTTTCAGTGTTAATAACTTTTGACACACCATTCAGATCTGCTTTTTGGCTGGTTATAAAGTGTGTTGTTGCTGGACAGATTCCTGAAGTTTATGAAGGCTTCAAAGTTTTGAGTAAAATAAGGGAAAGATAAAGAATTATGTAATCGGTATGTCTGTGGAGGTCATCTATGACTCCTGAATCAGTCCATCTGATACCTATTATGGAAAAGTAAAAATCTGAAAGCTGAGTAGTTATGTCTTACATTTTGACCTACCGTATCTATTTAAAAGAGCCTACGGATAAAAATGTGAGTATGGGAGGTCAGTCTTTTGGGACTGGCCATAGAAAAATTATGTTTACATTGCACCTATTCAAAACATCAGCATTGTTTCAGCAAAAAGTAATAATTTATTATACAGTATCTAAGATACTTTGTCACTGTGGAAGAGATCCAAAAGGATGCATGCTAAGCATTGCCTGCTTTTATAAAATCTCTCCTACAGTTTCTGTGGTATATAGGCTCCTTTTCCTCAGTCCCTCTTGAGAATCTTCAAAAGATTTTTAGTCTGTCTTGCAGTATGAAAAATTCCAACTAAGTTAAAGGTGAAAGTGACTTACCACAGCAATTAAATTATTTTTAGCGACTTAAATATCTAAGCTTTCATTTTTATGAGAATGTTCCAGACTTATTTGCTGTCTGACTTCAGTTAATCACAAATAGGAAGACTCTAACAGCTCTAAACACTGGTAAAGCCACTGACAAAATCCCACTGATTTCAAAAAGGCCCAGAACGAATGTTTTGCAGAATGAATGTTTTCTTAGTCTTTAAAAAATATCTGAGACTCTTCATTTTTTTATTGTTTATGAATATGCATTTGCAACATATGCTGACAATTCACTTTAATAGATTTGTTCCCTCTGAAGTGTGAACAATATTTTTAACTCCTTTAAGAAATTCTAACACAATGTACTGGAAATTGCCTTTTAGACAACCCTGTCCAAAATTCTTAAAAGGAACTCAAGTGTGTCTGTGTTTGAGCAGGGAAAAATAAAGCATGAGAGGTAGAAGCCATACTTCTAGCTTTCTTTTGTTTCTTACAAATACTCTGTGTATGAAAGCTGTGCTATTATGTAGTCACAAGCCAGCTAGGATAAAGAGAAGTAAGACTCTAAAATTTTAGCCCTCTGATTATTTAGGTAACTTCCAGCCATGGTAATACCATGATAATCATGGCAATCACGACAATACAAACCCAGACAGACCACTTTGATAACAGAATCTTACAGTGGTGACCTAATGAAGAAGTTGTTAATGAAATGTAGCATACAAACCAGTGGTAACACTTGCCCAGACAGACCACTTTGATAACAGAATCTTGCAGTGGTGACCTAATGAAGTTAATGAAATGTAGCATACGAACCAGTGGTAACACTTAGCATCTTTTACAATGTCCAGCAAATGCTTTCCTCATCCTTCTACAGTGAGGAGAAGGAGCCTTTTTTTTTTTTTTTTTTAGAAGGATTGGCAAACTGGTCATCAGACTGCACATTGCAGATGTATCTGGTGACCAGTTTGCCAATCAAAAAGTAATGCTCAAGAAAAAAAAATAGACAAATAAAAGGATATTACATGTTGGGCCCCTGCATTTTTCTGGATGCAGCACAACCTGATGAAAGGACACAGCCTGGGAGAGGAGGAGGAGAAGGCAGAAGGCAGGGTTTCCACTTTAGCCTCCCCTTAAGTGAAGTAAGCCTGGTGTGATGCACGCTGAAGCTTGGCTGTAGGTCTCCCACTTCTGTCAGCTCCTGGCTCCTCTCTGGCATCTCCTGGGTATATGTTTCTGCTGCAGGCTGAGTGCGTGCTGAGTTTGTCCTCCATCCTGTCCTGTCCTGTCCTGCACGCAGAAGCTCCTCAGAGCCAAGCACAGTTCCTCTAAGGGAAGGAGTAATCTTCCTTCAGATGGTTCTGTCTGACATGGACAGAACAGCAGCATCAGTCACCACAACAAAACTGGCAGCCTTCCAGTCTCCTGCCAAGTTACCCCCTTCTCCGACTCATCCCCTGACAAAACACATCATACAGTATATGCCTGATAAACTGTGAACAAATAAACCTATCTGCAGTCTGCCCCTCCGCCTTTCTTCATGTTACTGTACTACATAAAAGAATAAAGGCTAGGTTGTAGTCAACATAACATTTAAAAATTATGATGATAAACATGAACATTTTATTGATTAAATATTTTTTTTTTTTTTTTCTAATTTGGTGTTATGAGATACCCAGCACTTATTTGTGTGCGGCAAAGCTCTGTTTTGTGAGAGTTGGCTTGCTCTTCTTTAAAATAGAATTTTCATTTTATTTTAATAGGAGTAATTGGAGCAGATGTGAAAGGACATAACCTGCCATGTGAGAACCAGCCAATTACATCCCGAGTTGCTATGATCTGTGGAACATCTTCATGCCACATGGGGGTAGGTTGTATGTGCAATCCTAATTTGTATAGAATATACTAACTAATGTTTTAGAAGGGAAAAATGACCTTTATCCTTCTCACCGTTTTCCTTGAATTTTTTCTGGTAACTCTATCTTTACCTTTGGATATTAATTATATATTACTGTGCATTTGCTATTAAGCAAGAACTTTAATAGTAGTAGAAATCAATACTGAAAAATGACATGGAAAGTAAAACCCACAATGCTAGAGTGGCTTAAAGAGCAGCCTGAAATCTGAGCCAAGGACTCTGAGCTTGAGTTATCCGTGACAAGTCTGTCACTAATGTGTTACAGAATAGTGTCTTTGGAGAAGGAGTGCATGTCTTCAGTCACAGCCCCTCTCCCCCACCTCTTCACTTAATCAATATAAATCCTTCTAGCTCTGAAAGTTGCCATGATGTATAGAATTATGATATGTATCATGACTAAAAAGAAAGAAAAACCCTGATAAGCAATTTTCACTTTGCTAATTTTTCTCAGTGAATTAATACAAAAGCTTTTTCTGAGATTGCAATTAAAATTTAGTGTCTGCTTTTGAAATTTATACCTTTTTAAAATGCATGAGTCTGAAAGCATTCCATTTAGATAAGTACCCTTTTCTGCCACATTTTTTATTTAAAACTAATTTTGGTCTTAAATTTAGACTGATTATGGTTTGGATTTTTCCTAAATGAGGAAATGGCAATGGGAGTGCTAGAGGTTTTTAGAGAGGACTAACATGCTTCATGGAGAGTGATCTCCAGTAGAGAAAAAGAAAGGAAGCTGATAATAAAGTGCCAGGCTTAAGAGTAAGTTAATTTGTCTTCGTTGTAACACCATGAATACATGGTGATCCTGAGCATGAATAAATGGTGGTCTTGTCACATGGACTGTAGTTCAGCAAAGCATTTAAGCACGTGATTGAATTTAAAGATGTGAATAATCCCAGTATTGTGAAGCAGAGCATTTAACAAAAGCTTTAATCCTGTAGACCAATTGGAATATACAGGGATTCCTTCCTAAACAAGAGTTTCAAACCTCAAACTCCACCAGTCTTAGCTTACTCCGTCTCTGAAAAATTACATTGGTTCCTCTTTGTCTATCATGGTGCAGGTAGGGTACCCTGCGAATACCAGCTCTGGAGGAAGAAGTCACCCTTCGAGCCTTCTGCTAATTTTATTATTTCCATTTTTTTTTGTTGGAGATATCTGCCTTTTCAGAGGAAGCTGTTTGAGAAGTCTGAACTCTTCCTAACCCGTTTCGTTTACCTGCGTTAGTTTAAATCGTTAAAATGAGTTGGGTTAATAGAGACATAATACTGGACCGAAATGAGCTGAGGAGCTCTCTTAGTTTCCCCAAAAGGTCTAGGGGCAATGTTGAGCAGCTGGAAATGGGCCAGCTGGCTCTGACTTATTGCTTTAGTATAACCGGCCCTGTAGGAGGGAGTGTGTGTGGCTATTTATTATTTTTTAATATACGTATATTGATAAGTGTTAACGTAGGCCCAGTTCACAACGATGGTTTGTTTTGCTTCCCGAAATAGAGCAGGGTGTATCACTATCAACACTTCAATGGCACTTTTTGTGTGCATGCTCCACAACCATGAGAGATGTGGCTGCATTGAATGTGCTAATGTAACAAAAGTGACATGATAAAGTCCATGTTGAAGTTAATCAATGTTCTGCCATTAAAGCAGTCCCAAAGTCATACACAGACTGCACACCACAGTCAAGGTAGAACCTTTTAAGGCTCTTAATCCCCAGAGTGCAAACTCAGGAATAGATGCTTGTGCAGTTTTTGGCGAGATTTAAGTAGATTTTTGTTTAATGTAACTACTCAGCATTTTATAATCATTTCCTTAACTGCCTTCCTTCACTCATCTGCTCAGAGGTATAACAATCTCTAGCCAGCAGACAATAAGCAAATTCTAAACTCTGGATTTAATCTGTGAAAGGACTTTGTTTTACCCTTCTTTTATCTATTACCTGCATAGAGTGCATGAAGTGAATACAGAGCACACAGAGAAGTTGTATTTGTGTTTTAATGAGACCTATATGCAGCTGCATTTGGCTGAAATTAGCTGTTCCTTTTTTTAATTAGGGCTATAAAATGAAAGTATATTATACTTGTGTTTTGATAGAAATATATATTTTCTCTCTCCCTGTGCACCAAGGGACCCTCAGGGCTACAGAGATTAATCATCGAGTTTAATTTAATGCAGTGGGAGAGAGACCTGTGTGGTCAGGCGGGCATTAAAAAGTGCCTTTGATCTGTCTCAGGTGCACTGAGCCCCAGTGAGCCAGCAACAATAATACCTTTGTGAGATGATCAGAGACGAGAGAGGGAGAAAATGGCCTGTGTGGAAACTCAAGGCCGTCCTTTGTTGTGGTTCTGGCAAACGAAAGAGCCAACTGTCAGGAGAAATTCAGAAAACAGAAAGCAGGGTGAAAGTACGGTTGGATTTCTTTCAAGGGATCGTAACAGGAAACTGTTCAAAATCATCTGCTGTGCCTTTCTTTCTTCCCTCCCGTCCCCCTTTTTTTTGGTGGGGGCAGGGGTACTACTGCTGGTGTATGTGTGTTGGTACAGTATTTCCATTCTCTAGACCAAAAACTCCATGAGTCATGGGAACAGGTATTGCTTGAACACAGCATTTACTTTAAACTTCAAGAGAAACTGCTCCATGACCCAGTTTTCATTACCTCAAGGACTCTAGAGATCTTGAACAAAAGACTTTGCTAATCATGCCTTTGATATTTTAGAAAGTACAAATGTAAAACCTAATTTTACTCATGGCTATAATAGTTTAATTTGTGGTAGAACTACCATTTTTAAGTGAGGATGCGCTTTTGGAATTAACCACTGACAGTTTGGGGTAATCAGACACACACAAAGCATTTTGTGTTTCTGTTGAGATACTTGAGTAGCTCATGAAAGAAACAAAAGCATGTTGTAATTAGGTTACTGATCCAAGCCCAGGTCTGAGTTGGTAGTTGCCGAAAGTCACTGCTACCTCAGGGCTTATCCATTATCCATGAGGAAAATGAAAAGAAAAGATGGTTTTCTGAATATTTTTGGACAGTTATTCATTTTACATGATTCTCTGCTGCCTCTTTTGCCCTAGCAAAAGTCATTGGCAGAATTTGCATTTGGAATGGCAAATAAGCTGCCCTTTTCCTTGTGAAGGATTGTCCCTTGGTTTGGGGCTGAGATTCGTTTGCTGTGGGTTTGATCTGTCTGTGCAGGTATTTCAAGTGATGGGTACTGGGTGGGTGACTTTTCTGAGGGGGCTGCTGTGTGTCATCATGCTTTGCAGACAAGGCTCTCCAAGCTCCAGCACCCACATTTGATTTTGGAATTTTTAGGAGACTTTCCTCATGTAGCCATGACGACTACACAAAATGTGTGAGTAGTTTTTCACAGGAAAATAGCAGCAGGTTTGAGGCATTGAAATAGGAGCCTGCATGTTATTCCTAACTAGTAGTTTGCATGGGTCTAACAGACATGCCCTAACTTCTGGGAATAAGGTAATTAGTTCCCCTAAAAGCCTGTCGCCTGTCTTTCTGCCAGTGTCTTATGGGTTTTATGGGATATTTTAAAAGTTTCAAAAATCCTTTGTTTTCTTCTGAAACCTTTATGTGATCGGGGGAATTTCAGGTACAGAGATCTGTATTATCTTGTCCCAGCCCTGAACACAAACATGCCTGCCCTTCTGCAGATGTGTAAAACCACCGAGAATTGATTTAGCCCTGGGGTACCAGTTAGCAAACAGCAAACCTGTAACACGAACAAGCCGTGTGGCAGGGCACTTGTACACAGAAAATTCCTAGCATTCCGTGGAGCAGGTGATCTAGCAGTACTGCTGCTTCTTCCTGGTAGATAAATCTTGCAGTTTCCCATACCTGATATCAGCATAGCATTTCTTCTTGTGTGCACTAAATTCACGTAATAAAATATTTTCTTTTTCCTAAAGTAAAATTAAATCATTAGACTGTAAATTTTTTGTTGAAGAGACTACAGTTTGAGTAAGCTTTTGTCACACCTAGCAGGCTGGGACCAGACTGGGACTGGTTTTTCATAGCCAGAGGTTGTGTAAGGAATTTGAAGTAATTTAAAATGGTAAGCAGAAATAAATTATAGTTCTGGAGTGTGAATATCAAGAGTGCTGAGGGTTATTGGAGGCACTAGGGCATAGTGACCCTTCCCTCAGACTAGGATTTTTATGGAGGACAAGGAGGATGAGATGCGCAGAGCTGCAAGATTCAGAACTGTTGAAGCCCGTTGTGAGAGAGGGCAGGGATCTTCTTTTGCAATGCCCCGTCTTTGCTTTTTCTTGTCTGCTGTACGGGGTCCTTGCTAATCTTGTACGTGTACAGGACTTGTGCTATTTATGGTTATTGAATAAAGTAGGAGAGATCCACATAAAATAGCCCCCTTCATCAAGTGCCTATAAACTCTCATTTCTGTCTATTTAGTAGAGAATTAGGCTCACTGAGAGATCAGCATTCTGCTTTGCACTTGTCCCAGAACAGTTGTTCCATTATGAAAACATTTGTCATTCTTGCTCTAACACCTTTCTGGATTCACAGCTGAAGGAAGTAGGCAGAGAAGCTTCTGATGGGAACATTGCCTGGTGTGATTTCAGCTTACTGAGGCAGGGGGGCTGAATTTGCTGGCATTTTGAGTCCCAAACGTACAAGGTTTATGTTCCTTACTATCTAGAGTCTCTTATAATTTTTTCTATCTCCATTTATGTGGTCTGTGTGCTTCTTCAGTCATTCCTTCTTTAGCAGCTCTCTGTACGTAAAACTTCTTTTTGGGGTTTGTCAGGGAATCTTTTCAGGTTTAGATGGAGTCTCTTCCTTTGCATCTGTTTTTGTTACTACTCTGACTCTTGTCATTGGGAACTGACTCACCTGGCTTGGTGTGCAGTTCTTTTCCCCGGGTGATAATGTGTATGTGGTTGGAAGCTTATAATTTAGTCATTTTTTTTTTAAAT